GATGAGAGCAGAGTAGGAAAGACTGAGTCTCAGGCTCACAACACATGTGCACTTGGGCACATAGAGGACAGAGGGTGTTGACTGCGTGGATGGGCAAGTGCAGGCCACTGGGATGAGCATGAAAGTTGCAGTCCAGAGTGGGGCTGGCAGAGCTGCAGGGTCCCTGTCTGTCACTGTCACACACACACACACACACACACACACACACACACAACCAGCAGCAGCGGTTCTGTAATGAGCATTATTCAAAGAGCCATGGGAATTAGCGAGAACAACCCCTCAACCAGTGGCAGTGACCCCAAAACTGAGGGAGAGGAGGCAGCTGCTCTCAGTCGGCCAGGAGCGCGGGAACTGGACCCCAAGGGCCACATGTGCACGCCTGAGGAGACTCAGACAAGGCCTGGGGGGGGGGGGCTGATGGAAAGAGAGCTAGAAAGGCGTGTAGGATGCTGGTGGACATGGACAAGAGACTGTGCAATTACGTCTCAATGAAAACTAATCACTGTCTGAGCAGGCGACATGCAGAGCTGGGGCAGAGACAGAGGAGAGGCACAGAGACTGACACAAAGAACAGACACAGGGAAGAACAGGACAAGGAACTACCCTTACCACCATGCCTCGTGAGGGCAGTTAGGGACAAATGCAGGTGCCAGAGATGAGTGCTGGTGACACGGGGCTGTCTCTGTGCCAGTGTGGGGGGTCTTGGCTCAGCCGCTGCTGGATCCAGGTACAGGAAGGACCCCAGGCCATGACACCAAGCCTGCACACATGTGTGCTGCACACCACACAAGCCACAGTTAACACAATCCTATCACATGTAGTGTGCACCATATACACTCATACCATATACCACACACACCTCATGCTCCACATATCACGATCCCCCTCCACAGTATGAAATACAACCTCACCACACATGTACCACATGCCACACACAACTCAGGCTGTGCTATACACACCTGGTCTGTGGGTGTTCAGGTGGTGCAAGGTGAAAAAGGGAGATCCAGACCCAAGGAAGCACACACACACACACACACACACACACACACACATCCAGAAAAGGATAGAACAAGGGGGAAAAGAGGTTGTGATGATTTACCACAGTCCCACCCCAGGGCTTTTGCATGAACTGTTCAGTTATATGGAGTCTGTCACCAGCAGCCCTCCACCCCATCCCCACAGCACCCATCCACCAGGCCTTCCCTTCCCTGGGAGCCCAATTGTCTGGACAAGCTAGAGCCTGTCTCCACTTTCCTAAGGCCTGGGGACTTTCTGCACCTGTCCAGTCTAGTCAGAGAGAAGGTTCCTTTTGTGCTCCAAGTCACAGTCAGGCCTACAGCAGGGACTCCATGCGAACTTGTCAAGGGAAGCAGTGAGGGAAGGCATGGAGGAACACCTGCTCGGCTATGAAAAAGCAAAGCAAAGGCTTTGATGATTCACAGTGCAGAAGCAGAGGGAAAGGGAAGAGGGGCATGAAGGGAGGCCAGCACATCTGGAATAATCAAGATGGAGGAGGGGCATCTCACAAAGGGCAGGAAATAGCAGAGAAGCCTCCAGTGTGGATGTGCACAAGCCTGCACACACACACAGACACACGCATGCATGCAGTATGTGAATACCGACCTCAGAGCTGGGGCAGCTCCCTGGAGGCAAGGAGAGGGAGGGTGGAGGAGAGCCTCTGTCTGCCTGTCTCTCATGCACACACAGCTGGATAATGTTAGTACTGACAGGGAAAGGAAACAGCCCCTAGCCAATGGCAGTGACCCCCAAAATGAGGGGAGAGGGACAGCAGGCAGTAAGAGGCAAGAGAGTGGAGAGTACAGTGCATTGTGGAAACTCAGAGTGGGGGACAGAATGGAAGCAGGCTCACCCCTTGCAGAAGACACCAAGGCCATGTGTTTGTTAGAGAATGAATGAATGAATGAATGATGAATGAAGAATAAATGAGTGAATGAGAAAGGAACAGATCCACTGGGGTGGAAGGTAGGAACAAAGGATGCAGAGCCAAGGGGATGGCATGCACAGACGCATACACACCCCGATCGCTCCACCCTGAACAAGGACAAGAAGAAAGAGTCTGCATTTAATAAGACCCACAGTAGAATGCAGAAGGTGGAGGCTACTCAAAGATAGACAGATGGACACAGGCCTGGACTCATGAGACACTTCCCAGGGTTCTGGAGAGAAAGAGGGCTGGGGCCAGAGAACCAGATGTACCCAGACACTGATTTACAGGAGTTCTGCTGACCCAAATCCAGCCACCCGGTCTCCACAGTGCCTTTCCCAGTCCATCCTGTCCAGCTCTGTCTGTCCAGCTCTTTCTGCAAATTGTAGTTTGGGAATCCACAAAAAAAAAAAAAAGGAAAAGAAAACAGAGGGAAAATGGATACAGGGTGTGTGTGTGTGTGTGTGTGCACATACGTGGGGAGGGGCAGGATTCCTTGAGGAATGAAGGAAAGGAGCAGAGGACAGAAAAGTTATCTATGATTGACAGCAGCAGGCAGGGAGTACACACACCCCATACATACCACACAACCTCATACCCCAGTTATCCCGCACAACACCCCACCAAACACATCCTACACAGCACCCTCCCACTCCACATACCCCCACCTCAAGCCCACATACCAAACATACACACACAGCACAGGCAACTTTATACATACCCCATACTCTAACCATACCATACACCTACCACCCCCTACACCCACCCCAGACACCGAACACCACACACTTCCCACCCCCCATCCCACACCCACCTCACACACCAAACATATAACCACACCCTTCCCCATAACCCAAACACAATCCATATCCTAATCACACTAGACCCACATATCTCCCACACAGTTCACACCCATGTACACCCCACACACACCCATAACACATCGGTAGGAAGGCTGATTAAATCCCCAAGGAAAGTAGGAGCTCTGCAGATGGCCAAGGGGCAGAGAGAGCTGCTTGGCACACACAGGCGCATACAGGCAGGGGCCATGGCAGTGCTGAGCCCAGGGCAAAACTTTGTTCCGTTTTTCTATAAACACAACAGCTCAGAAGTAAGCCGGTACACGAGAGCCCAGGGACAGAGATAGAGAGACTCAAGAGACTAGGAAGCATACACAGTCAAGCAGTGTACATGCCCTGGGGACGTGTTGTCCTCTAGGAAGGAAGGCCAGATGGGTCTGAGTTTTTTGTTTTATTTTGTTTTACTTATTTGTGCTTTTCTGAATCTTCCTACTCTGCTAGAAGGAACACATCTGATTCTTGCCACAGGAAAACATGCCCTCTAGAAGAAAAAAATATAGGCAGACTAGAAGCAAACCCATGGAAAGTTGAGGGCCCCAGGGCCTCACACCCTGCCGCAAGTCCATGAAGCCAGAGCAGAGGTTCCCCCAACTGGAGGCCCAGGCCAAGCCGAGGCGCACTGCTCTGCAATTGGTGCACCTGTCCCTGTCTCTTTCACACACAGAGTCCCATGAAAGCAAACTAAACAGTGGCTCAGAGTGAAAGACTAGAAACCAAAGGGGCTGGAGGTGTGTGAGGAGGTGGATATTGGCCTCCACCTCCTTTCCCTGCACAGACACTGCCCCATGAGCCCAATCTGGGGGTATCTTGCCAGCCTCCCCGGCACCAGGTTCAGTGGATGAAGGAGTTCTTTGAGCCACCATGACAACCCCTTGTGGATTCCAGGGGCCAGAGAATGCTTTCCAGTGGTCTGTGGCCCTCTGAGGTGTTTTGAAGGCTGAACAGTTTATCAGCTTGCAGAGGAAGGAGAAAGGGCATTTCCAGGTTAGAATCATCAAGGTCCCAGGCCTGGAGTATGAGGTTGGAGATGAACAGAGGACAGAGGAGAGTCACAGTGGAAAGGGAGAGCTGGAGAAGGGGCATCGTGTGGAGGCACGCATGAACTCACACCGCCTGTACCTGTGTTCAGGCAGCACACACAGCTTACCTTACTCCCTCAAGTATCCAGGTACACTTACCTAGGTCACACCTACTCTCAGACCACATGATGCATGCCCATGCTCAAACATACACATGAACAAGCACAGACATCATGAGCATAAGCCCCCATCCCTCATGGACACAGAGGCCTGCTTCTCCAAGATGCAAAGGACCCAGGACCCAGACCCCAAGCCCCGGTTCACACCCACCTCATTCCCCAACATGCACACATCACAGGTCCCAGGCTTCCACTGTGGTATGTGGTTGTGAAAGGGACATGATCTGGGAAGTGTCCGGATTCTGACATGTGAGAGAGTGCTGAGAAGTTAGTGTCCTTCACCTTGGGCATTCCCTGTCTAACCCTGAAGCCAATGGAAAATCACCCTTGACATTGAGCTCAGGGCAGCCCTAGCCAAGCCCAGGCCTCTCTGCCACTGGCTGGTTTCTGCCGACCCAGGAGTTACAAGAGGTGGCGCTAGGGGTGGCAAGAGGTGAGGTTCAGTATGTTACCGGGGGTTTGAATGGGGCAGAGAAGTTTGCAGACACAGGTGTACATTCTGGGGCAAGTAAAACTTCCTCAGGTCGGACAGGCCAAGACTTTGGGTCCTTGGGGTTGGGCAGAAGCATCCATGGCCTCTCCCTGCTCAGGCCTTTCATGGGTTCACCCCCACCCTGCTCAGCCTGCCCCCACCCCAGACACACACACACACACACACACACACACACACAGCGCCTTTGAGAGGATCTGAGAACACATCCACAACACTCTAGGCAGGCTTGGTAGCCCTGCCCCATCCTGCCATCTGCTCCCATCTCCCAATCATCTACATTCTGAGCTTTAGAAGACCTGGCCTTAGCCTGGTGCTTCTCCCAGACATGCTGATGTGCACACACAGTTCATTCCACCATGGCTGTCCTGTTTGATCACATCACCCCCGGGTCTAGAAACCCCTAGCTACTAATGCTGCAGGGGCCAAGGCTCCTGACTGCTGCCTTTCCTGCAATGTCGTCTCTTGCTCTCCCACTCACAAATGTTCAATAAACTGCTGGCCAAATGAGGTCTGTTTGTGTTTAATCAGACAATATGCAAAGTATGTACAACCAATTCTGGGAAGTTCCTTCCCCACCAAATCCTGGGCCATGGAATGTGGGAAACCCCTAGGCCCTGCCCAGAGCTGGGGGCCCCCAGGCCTCTGCATAGTCATCTGAAATCTACAAAACACTGTTTAAAAAAAATAGGACAGTTGAGGCCACCTTATATAAAGGGCCTTGGGCTGTTAGAGGGAGGCTGGGGAGCACTTGGGGTGGCAAGCCCAGACTTGCCAGGTGGTTGGGAGACTTCGGCAAGAGATGCCTATGGAAAGAAATGCGGAAGTATCTGGGCAGGCCCCACCTGGCCTCCTCCTTCTGGGGCCTGACTACCTTGAGAGGCCCCAGAACTGGGAACATTATTGCTATGATGGGGCAGTGGGTGAAATGGTCATGTATGAGAACAGAGGGGTGTTTTTACACATTAAATATACACACAAGGGGGACACACACATGTACACATACAAATACATACACACAGGGACTCTCAGTGGGAAGTCACAAATCGTCAGCTGCCCACCTTATAGATGGGGACACTGCGGGAGAATGAAGCCACCACATACCCTAAGACGGGGTAGAAGAACCAGGGATGAAGCAGTCACCTGCTGTCCTGGGGCTGGGCTGCCCTCTGGACATTCCCTTAGGTCTATCCAGCAGCTGAGCAATGGCGGATGTCATAGCCACAGGAGTAGAGGCTGCAGCTCAGAGAAAAAGCAGGGCCATCCAAGGTCACACAGTCAGTGTTGGTGTATAGCAATAGGGATCCTTGCCCTCTTTTACCCTGGCCAAGGAATTCCCCTCCCTACTCAAGAGCTAGGGGGTGTAAAGGTGAGGAGAACAGGGCCCAGGTGTTGAAATGATCAGGACAGATGAGCAGGACCAGGGCCTCTGACTTCTAAGCACTTCCACTTCTGTTTGATTGCTTTGGCAGCCTGAGAGCTCTCTCCATTTCACACTGGCTCTGAAGGTCAAACCCACCCAGGTTTGGACTGAAGCCTGCCCCATACATCACTCTCTACCCCTCATTCCTGGCTCAGTGTCACACCCATCTCCATTCTCTTCCCCTGTGACAGAACATGAGAATGTCAGAGGCAGAACTCTGCCACCCTTAACCCATCCTCAGGCCCCAGTCCTGACATGGTGCCTCTGAGGATGATTCTGGTTAGTTCCTGAGGAAGATAGAGGGAGCACCAGGTGCCAAGCCCACCTCAAGCCTGAATTGCTTCATAGCCTTGGGCAAGTCACAGTCCCTTTCTGGACTCAGTTTCTGCAACAGTGAAAAGAGAGAAATGAGTCGGTCCCACGTGGAGGACAGGGCTGAGGGGGTGCTCACAGTGACCCCCATCTGAAGTCACATTGGGCCTCGGGCTGCCTAGTCTGAGAGCCACGGAAGAGCCTCTAACATGGACAGCCAGGAACAGAGGTGCAGGCTGGGCCTCATTCCTCTTTGGAAAGGCTCTTTGACCAGCTCAAGGCAGACCCAGGGTGTAGAAAGTAGAGAAGAGCCAGGTGAGTGAAGTGGGTTGAGGCTGGAAAACCGCCCCCAGCCTTGCCCTTCACCCAGTACCTCCTGCAGAGAGGGGCAGGCTCCAGAAAGAATGCACAGAGCAGGCATGTGGCCAGGTCAGGTCAGGCGCCAGGACAGTCACTCACTATAACAGTCACTCTGCCAGGCTCGTCCTGTCCTTCCTTGCTGCCCTGGTTCTGGAAGCCTTCCCATGCTCCAATGATAGAGGGGGCATCTTGAGGCAACTCAGCCCCAGAGGGAGGGTGAAGGGAGGCAGGTACATCAGAGACGATACCCAGAAGCCTAGGGCAATGGTCCCATGCCCAGAGCTCCTATAGATTCTCCCCAGGCTGGTACTGCGGCTCAGTGGACGTGAAGTAGTCCTCTAGAAAGGCCTGCAGGTACTCGAAGGTGGGCCGTTCCTCAGGTTCCTTCCGCCAGCACTGGCACATGAGGTCATGCAGCGACTCAGGGCACTCGGGTGGGCAAGGCATCCGGTAGCCCCGCTCCACTTGGTCCAGCACCTCTCGGTTCACCATCCCTGCAGGCAGAGGGCTATGAGGAGCTGGCTCCAGAGAAGCAATGGGATGGGAGACTGACAGGGACAAGAACACTTCCTGCCTGGGATGGATAAGACCATATCTAAGAGACTAAGCACCCTGACCAGACAGCCTAAGATCAGAGCTCAGCCTCTTGGGTATCTAGCCAGGAAAGGAGCCCAGCAGGTAGGATTTGCCCTCAGGACCAAGGTCAGGGACAGATGTACAGCCTCCTCACCAGGGTAAGGCACCCGTCCCTTGGTGGTGAGTTCCGTCAGCAGGATCCCAAAAGACCACACATCCGACTTGATGGTGAACCTGCCGTACAGAGCAGCTTCAGGGGCCGTCCACTTGATGGGGAATTTGGCACCTACAGTTGAGAAGGGACAGGTATCACTACCATTCTGCCACAGGGACACTGTTCTTGTTTCCACCTAGTACACTGGAAAACAAGGCTCAGGGCAGAGGTGTGACCTGCCTGACACCATCAGATGCACCTCCCAGATGCTGCCCACCTTGCCGGGCTGTGTATTCGTTGTCCTCGATGAGCCGAGCCAGCCCAAAGTCGGCCACTTTACACACCAGGTTCTCCCCAACCAGGATGTTGGCAGCACGGAGATCCCGGTGCACATAGTTCATCCGCTCCACATATGCCATGCCTGAGGCGATCTGTACAGATGGAGAACCTGGCTCAGGGGCCAACCCATACCTGTCCCAGGGCTGTCAGCATGTGTCCCTGGCTGGTTATCCCCAGGGATGGTGAGCCAGCTACTCACTCTGCCCACCCCACACTTCTTCAAGGAAGTAGCTATTCAGCATACAATAAACACTACTGGTGTGAAAAAGTGGACCAGAACTTGGTGGAAGACAGGGGTACAGGCAAAGAGCAATGGAGAGGTCATAATAAGATGTAGCCAGGGAAGCAGGTGACCACGAAAGAGGTCCTGGCTGACCCACAGGTACAGGTGCCTGCCAGGCCTGTTGTCCCACATTCCCTTTCTGAGCTTCAGTTTCCCCATCTGTCAAATGGACATAATAACAATAATATATATTAATAATCTACCTCTTCTGATTGTAATCGGGATTCAACTTTAAAAGGAGTTGATGGGCACTGCCTATAGTAAGCAGTAATACGTATTTGTTGAAGCATTCAATGACCTTCACAGAGAGAGAGAGACATGAGGTCTTGCAGCAAGTCAGTGTTCCTCATGCCCAGATAAGCCATGCTGGCCAGAACCATCACTCTAAGCACCTGCAAGGGCTCCAGTGAGTTGATGCTTATGGCAAGGTGAGAGTTTGGTGTGATGAAGGCAGGCTTCCCGAAGGGGGTACTCTGAGATCGGAACTGGCTCAACCCAAGAGCCAAAGGGGTGGGGAGGAAGAGGCTCACCTGAGCAGCCATGTCCACTAGCTGAGGCAGCCGTAGGTACTTGCCCGTTTCCCCCTTGAGAAAGTCCAGCAGACTTCCTGGAGAGAGAAATGAAGATCCAGTTCCAGCCCTGCCTGGGCCTCCCTGTGCAGGAAGTCATAGCTCCCAGATCATGGCACTACCCAACCAGTGAGGCAAAAAGCTTCAATCAACTCCATGCTTGTCACTCAAACAGGGGACAGCCCACCATCCACTCCAGGGAACCAGATCAACAGTGGTTCATGCATACCAAGAAATCCTATTGGGCCATGAGGAAGCAGTAAGCCACTGACCCCTGCAGTGAGCATCAGCATTATTCAAATGCAAAGACCACACAAAGTCAAGGATAAATAAGTCAAGGACAAATGGGTCTATAATGACAAAACAAGTCAGTGGCTGCTGGGACTGAAGCTGGAGGGTCTTGTTTCTTAGGGCAACAGGGAACTTTGGGGGTAATGTGGCTACTATACATTTTCATTTTGTTTAGAGACAGGGTCTCATACAGCCCAACTTACTATGCTGCAACTGAGGCTGACCTTGAACTCCTGATCTTCCTGCCCCAGTGCTAGGATTATAGGTGTGTGCCACCATGTCTAGCTTATACAGTACTGGGGATCAAACCCAGGGCTAAACCTAGGGCTTAATGCCCGCTACGTCAGCACACTACCAACTAAGCAACATCCCCAGCCCCACATTTTGTTTACTGAGACAGTCTCACTATGTAACCCAGACTGGCCTCAAACATAATACTCCTGTTTTAGTCTCCTGGGTGCTGGGATGACAGGCACAGGCCACCAAACCCAGCAACACTACAGATCTGGACTGTGCTAAGGGACAAAAGGAAAATCCGCTTTTAAAAAGATTTAGTGTTATTTTCATTCATGTGTGTGTGTACATACTTCAGTATGAGGACGCCTGCAGGGTCCCCTGGAGTTAGAGTTGCAGGCAGTTATGAATCACCCAACACAGGTACTAGGAACCAAACTCAGGTCCTCTGTAGGAACACTCTGTCTCTGACTGCTGAGCCATTCCTCCAGCCCTGAGAATCCATTTTTTTAAAAAAATATTTTATTACTTTTATTTTATGTGTATGAATGTATTGCCTGCATATATGTAAGTGCATTCGTGTCATGCAGTGCCTGTGGAGGTCAGAACAGGGCACTGAATTCCCTGGAACTGGAGTTATGGACAGTGTTAGCTGCTATGTGGGTGTTGAGAACTGAATCTGGGTCCTCTACAAGAGCAGCTAGTGCTCTTAACTGCTGAGCCATTTCTCCAGTCCCAAGACTCCATCTTTAAAATTCCATTGAACTAGACACCAAAGATGGGTGAATTTTATCAAATGTTTTAATAAATGGGATTTTGGTTCCCAGCAACCATACCAGGCAGGTCACATCTTCCTCTAACTCCAGCTCTTGAAGGATCCTGGTTTCCTTGGGTATGTGTGCACGCAAACACACACAGACACAGACATAGACACACACACACACACACGCACACACATACACATACACACACATACACACACACACACAAATAAATCATAAAAAATAAGGGATAAAATAAAACAAATGGAATTTTAAATACAATTAGTTTGAAAATTAAATCAAGGCCAAGCTGGGGACTTAGAGGGCTCGGGGAGCTCTTTCTTGCCAAGAATAGCAAACAGCTTTAGAAAACAGAACAGCAATCCACTGTAGGAAGCCATTGGAAACCAAAGGAAAAGAGCTGGGCAGTCCCTGATACAACTGCACACCCACCCTGGGTTAGCTTCTGGGCCATTTCATCTACAAGGTTCTGGATAAGGAGTGAGGTTGCCCTGCTCTGCCATGCTCAGACACCTGAGCACTTGGCATGGGCCCAGGCCTTACCCTTGCTCATGTACTCTGTGACAATGTAGATGGGCTCCTCTGACACTACAGCATACAGCTGAACCAGCTTCTCATGCCTCAGTTTCTTCATGACCTGGGCCTCCTGCAGGAAGGCCTCTGGAGACATGGTGCCTGGCTTCAGGGTTTTGATGGCAACCCTCGTGGTCCCGTTCCAGGTCCCTGAGGGGGAAAAGACAAGGCCGCCTCAGTCCAGGCTACCTTCCTGTTGCACTGGGGCCTGGACAGCCTGCATGAGTGCTTCCCGGCCCACAGACTGGGCCCAGCCAAGATTGGGGAACCTTCTTGAGACTCTATTCCCATCTGTAGAATGGGCTCAAAGGACAGGAGACTCCTCACAGGGCTGTTCACAACACAAAGTGAGTCTTTGCCAATGTTCACAACAGTAGCTGCTGCCGGGGCTCTGATTAGTAGGAATGTTCCCAGAAAGCAAGACAGAGGCCTGACAGGTAGGTGACCATAGTCCGGTCTCAACTACTCAACTACTCTAACTTGGGGTGATCAGATTTCTGCAAGGACAGTGTCTCAGACATCAGCAATAAGAACTACCCCTAGTGGGGACAGAGGAGAAGGAGGGCTGGGGCTGGGGCCATTGAGAATATCAAAACAAGAAGTCAGCTCAGAGGCTGCACTGTACCAAACAGGAAACTGAGAGGCCAGTCTGGTTAAAAGTCCTCTTTCTATAAGGTCTGGGTCTGAGGGTAGAGCTCGGGTCATATAGGGATCTGTTTCCTGGGTCTACCTGGAGGTGGGAGGCTCTCTCAGACCACCATATACCTGCCAGGAATGAGTGTAGTCAAGAAAAGCCGAGGCTGTGGACCCACCCAGGTTTTACCCAAACCCTCCCTTCAGTCTGGGCCTAGGAGTTGGCTTCTCCCTCTTTGCCTCCTCCACTCACAGCCCAGAACTCCCCTTCCCTGACTTGGCTCAGCCTCCAGGCCTTTGTCCCGGCAATGTTCCCTTTCCTAGCCCCTCTGTGCCCTCTGAAGGGAGGAGAGTGAATGGTAGTCACTACTGCCCCAACAAACCCCTGAACCTTGCCTCTTGCTACCCCTAGGCCCACCTCTTCTACTCCTAGGTCAGCAGAAACCATCCACTGGGCTTAGGTAGGGCTGCCCTGAGCTCATTATTAAGGGCGATTTCCCAGTGGCTCCAGGGTTAAACAGGAAATGACCAGGGTGAAGGGCATTCTTAACTTCCCAGCCCTCCCTCCACATAACACTCTCTCCTTCCACGCTGAGCTGATGTGCAGATGATCTTCAAAGCTTATCATCAGCCCCCGTTTTACAACCAGAAAGGTGAGGCTCAGAGTGAGACCACTTTGCCAGACACTCAAGGTCCCGAGGGCTGTGGTGCCCAGGCCCCATCAGCTCTTGGCACATAGGTACCCTGGTCTTTAAAAGCATAGGCCACAAGGAATCAGTTGTGCCCACCTCAGTGCTGACCCCAATTGGGGTCACCCTTTGCTGGGGAAGCCCTGATAAGAATGGGTCATAGGAGTGAATATGAGCAAAGTATGTTGCGGGTGGGTTTGAACGTGTCACAGGAAACCTATTACTTTGTACAATTAACATATAAAATAGGGCCCAATTGTTCAACAGGGATAGTTAAAAAGCATGGGGACCCAGGGTCTTTGAGCTGCCTAGCTGGGTGGGGACAGGGGCATGTGTTCCTTACCCATCCACACTTCTCCGAAGCAGCCCTGGCCCAGCTTGACCTCCAACCGCAGGGACTCCCGGGGAATTTCCCAGGCATCCTTGGCCAGGCCCTGGGTCTGAGGCTTGGATGTGGGGCACACGGTGGTGAGACGGTGGCACAGGCCATCGGCATGTTCTGGAGATGGAGGCAAGGTGTATTGCTCAGGCAGTGTCCCATAGCAAACTGGCTTCCCTGTCCTGTGTGCAGACGCCCCACTCCTCATAGTCCCACGTGTATCTGCTCAGTTCACTCATTCATTTGCTCATCTGTCAGATCTGACAGTGCCAGGGAACCAGGTGGGGAATGAGTGCAGAAGCCTACACCAGGGAGGTTTACAGCCCAGGGAGGAGCAAGCCCTCCATTCACCTCTGGGGATCACAGGTAACACAGAGGAAAACTTGGGGGTAAGAGGCTGGGCTATCAGACACACTTTGTATGTCCTTTAGGAGTCCTGAAGGCTTTGTAGCCTGGGTCCGCAGGGTAAGGAGCGTGGCACCTGAGGCAGAACATACAGCCATGTACTCAGGCCCAAGAGAAGAGCAGCTGGGGGGTTGGAGGAGCTGCCAGGAGACAGGAAGCTGGGGGGGGGGCACACAGAGGAAAGGGCAGATAAAGGAAGGAGTCCTTGGCCACCAGGGTTTGGGGGTCCCAAGGCAGCCCTTGGATGACTTCATCTGGGAACAGAGTTTAGCCTGGGGCCCAAAACACAGGCAGAGGGGACAGAATGGCAGTTGATCCCAGAGAAAAGTGGGGTCTCAGAGAGTGGTTGGAGGCCCAGGTTGACGAGGCTGCCCAGGTGAGAAGGAGCCAGGGCTAAGCAACCACAAGGGCACACACCACTGGGCACCCCAGCTCCTGCCCCTCAACCCCTGCTGCTCTCTCCTCTTTCTCAGCTCTGCTGAAATCAGTGCAGCTGCCCCCCTCCTCCACTTCCAGGAACTGGTTCAGACCAGTCCTAGGGCTGTAGAAACAATCAACCCCAGCCTCTGTTCCCTTCCCTCCCTCCCTTCCAGCTCACTCAGGGCAGCCCCCTCCTCATCTGCCAGCTGCAAGGGGGGGAGAGGAGGGGGGGAGGAGGAGGAGGGGGAGGGGGGAGGAGGAAGAGGAGGCTGCCTAGATTTAAGCAGCTGGGCTGGGGGAGAGCAGGAAGAGGGGAGGGAGAAAAGGGGAGAGGGGCAGGGAGGGGACTGTCAAGGGCACCTTGGGGCACCCCACCCCTCTTGGGTGGCAGTTGGAGGACACTCACTGGAATAGTAAGCCACAAGCTGCTGCAGGCTGTTGAACTGGGTGCGAGAGGTGATGTAGAAGCCTCCGCTGTCCAGCTTGCGGATCTTGTAGTGTTTCACATTGAGGCCCTTGGCGTTGTCAAAGTCAGACACAGAGAGGCAGTAGGCACCTGAGATGGGGCACCCCACCCCTCTTGGGTGGCAGTTGGAGGACACTCACTGGAATAGTAAGCCACAAGCTGCTGCAGGCTGTTGAACTGGGTGCGAGAGGTGATGTAGAAGCCTCCGCTGTCCAGCTTGCGGATCTTGTAGTGTTTCACATTGAGGCCCTTGGCGTTGTCAAAGTCAGACACAGAGAGGCAGTAGGCACCTGAGAGCAGGCAGGGCAGGGGAACCATGACCACCTCCTCACTTATCAGCCTGCCAGCGCCTCCTTGTGGGCACTCTGTAGCACAGAGCTACGGGGCCCTTGCTTGAAGAAGTGAGTTCTGAGCCCACCCTCTCTGGGGGGCAGGCACCAAGGCAGCCATGCAGGCACAGCCAGGAAAGGGAAGAAACTCCTGGTTGAAAAGTCCTCCCAAACTCTTTGTTCTGGTAAGACCTCTGAATCCTGAGTGTGCATCCCAACCTCATGACCCTCACAAGTCATTGTCTGTCTCCTCTGGGCCTCAGTTTCTTCCTCTGCACAATAAGGCTATTGGAAAGATTCATGAAAACCATAACTGAGTCAGGTTTAATAGCACACACCTTTGATCCCAAGCACATGGGAGGCAGAGGCATATGGATCTCTGAGATCAGGCCAGCCTGGTCTACATAGTGGGACCCTGTCTAAAAAAATTAAAATAAGTAAAACATCCAAACCAAAACAAACAAACAAAACACATCTGAAGCCAGGCATGTTGGCGCATGCCTTTAACCCTAGCACTTGGAGGCAGAGGTAGGCAGATCTCTGTGAGATCAAGGCTGGTCTGGCCTACATAGTGAGTTCCACGCCAGGCGGGGCTACAGGAAGATCCTATCTCAAAAATTTGAAAAAAAAAAACAAAAAAAAAAACCCCACATCTGAAAGGTGGGTACACAGCAGGCAGTCCATAATGTTTGCTGGGACCTGGGAACAGGCCCAAGTGGCTGGGTGTCCCTGGCCTGGCTGCTGTCCTCTCTGAGCCTACCCATGTCTGCCCCTTTCTGCTTCCTAAAGACCGCTTGAAGAGGCAGGCACAATGGCTGGCTGAGGCTGTGGCAGTCCCAGGCAGGAGGCATGTGCTGGGCACGAGCACGGGACCCTGCCTCCCTAAAGCCTAGAGAAGCTGTGGCCCCAAGTGGGGCACAGGCTCCAAGAACCAGAAGAGGCCTGGAACCTGCCAGGCAGTGGGCAGCTTTGAGTGGAAGACCTGCCTCCCCACTCCCCACTGCTGAGACCCCTGGAACCCCCTGGACAGCTCCCCACCAACTCTTCCCTGTATGCCTCAAGCCATTGTTTCTGCAGACAGCCCAAGTCATGGGTACACAGAAGCCACAGGCCAAAGGCCAAGTGGAACCACATGTGCACACAGAAGCACGCCTGCGCCCAGAGGCCACATGCTCACATATGTCCACACTCCTCAGGCCCCAGGAACCAGGACCCCATCATATTTCACTCCCAAGGAGCACCACTCACCAACCCCAACCCAGACAGCACACGCAGACCCATGATTGCACACAGCACACATGGGGGGTGCATGCTCCACATTTCCATCTCCCGCTGAGCCCCAGGCCCACAGGAAGCAGCCCAGCTCCGTTGCCATGGTGATGGGCCAGGAGAAGGGGATGATCTTCATTCTTCACTAAGGAAGGGGCAGGAAAGAAGCAGGGCCAGATGGTGGGGGAAGGGCAAGGCCAGGAGAAGGGGAAGCAGAAGGGCCCATTATATCAGTGTGCATCCTGGGCACAAGGCTTTGGCTATGTGACACCAAGCTCCTGACAACCTGTGCCCATTCCCTATGTGAGAAACAGGCCAGAGAAGAAAAACCTCACCTTGTGCTGTACCCCTGAGCACCCCAGATCATCCTAAAGCACCTTCCTTTGATCCTGCTGTTTCTAACACCTGGAGGGCTCTTCCCTCCCCACTCCATGTACCCCACTCCTATTCATTCTGCAATACCCAGCTCAAACACCACCCACAAAGCCCAGTTTCCACCAGCCACAGATATGTTCGAACCTTTTGTGGTCTCACTTTCCCTCACAAGGAAGGTCCCTCTCGGGTTCTCTGTGTTGAGCAGTAATCGCTCTGACTCCCGTCTAGTGATCTTGCCGAAGTACCACCTAGGATGAGAGGGGCAAAGTTGTGTTGGTGGGCCAGGCTTCGCAGCCTACAGAGCTGGTCCTGATGGAGTAGGAGTTCAGACCACACACAAAGGCCCAGGAGAGACACTGTACAAGCAGCAGCAGTGGTGCAGACAGCGGTCATACAACATACTTACTCCTCAGCCTGAATGGAGTCAGAAGGGGCCACGTAGTTGCTGGGGATATAGCCGGTCTGTCCTGTGCTGAGTGAGTGCGCCAACCACCAGTCTCCCTCTCTGAGCAGGGGGAAGGGAGCAGAGAATGGCAGTTATCAAGGGTGCCAGGCCTGCAACCTTGACCTTCCATGTGTGTGCCAGGCCCTGCAGCAAGGGAAGCCGGGCCAGCCTGTGTCCACAGCAAGCCAGCAGGAGCTGACCTGGAGCTTCTATTTCTTCCCTGATACACTCCAAAGACTCAAAGGGGTGCCACCCTGGACTTGGGCAGGACTGTGCCGTGCAGCTCAAAAACTAACCCGGAGGCACTGCCAGATGTTCACAGTAACGGTGACTTGCAAATGTCAAGGGCTGTATTGGGGGAAGGGGGCAAGGATGGATGTCGGATTAGACCAAAATCTCCTCAACCCCTTCGATCTGGAAACCCAATCCCGGGAGCTGGAACACCAGATGGAGGCAAGAGCTGGGTCTTCTGGGGCTCAGCAACAGTCCAGGCCCAGCCCTGCAACTGAGCAATACTTGCCTCTCTCCCAAATCATAGCTTACTCCTACAGGTCCTTAGCCAAAAACTACAGGCCTCCTCCTGCAGCCTATCCATGTCCATGGAGAAACTGAGGCCAGAGAGGCCTGGGATATGCCCAAAGTCACACAGCGAGTCATGGGAAATGAGATGGCAGAGCCCCAGTGCCCAGGGGCCTCTACACTAACTATCCCAGGAAGAAGGGAAGGAAGGAGGAAGGAAGTGGGGAAAAGGGCAGGAGGACTCCCAGCAGGGTCTGGGCTCTGGGCCTGGGCAGGAAGGGGAGGGGCAGAAGTACCTTTGCAGCCATCTGAATGTGAACCAGGTCTGGCTGGAGCGGGGGTCCAGAAACAGAGGAGGGAGGAGCAAGCGAGAGCCCAACAGGAGAGAAGAGGTAGAGATGGGGGTGGTGAGAGGCAGTGGCAGAGGGCTGAGGGAGAGAGCGAGAGCCAGGCGGTGCTGGGGACACTGGGGACACCGGAGAAGGGGCAAGGGGGCAGCCAGAGGCCTCACATCCAAAGCAACCAAAGGTAATGGGGAGAAGACTGGAGTGAGGGAAGGTCAGAGGGCAGGGCAGCCTGGGAGGTGGGGGCCTGCCCCTCCCACATCCCCTCTACAGATGGGAAGACTGAGGCTGGAGAAGCAAAAGGTCCCTTGCAAGGTCACACAGCCAGGCCGGGTCCTGGTTCCAGGGAAGACATCTCCCTGCAGATACCATGGGTCTCAGTGGCTCTCCAGCTCATCTCTACCCAAGGCTTGAGTAATGGGCAAATATTAGGTCAGTTGGTATTGCCCTCGACCCTGAGAAGATGCAAGGCAGGCCCACCCTAGTGCAGGGGCAGCAAGGCCCTGGCCTCATATTACACAGCCTCAACTTGAGTCCACAGATACAGGAACATAGCTTCATCCTGCTTCCCAGATGGAGAAGTTGAGGTGAGAAGTAAGTGGGGCTGTGGAAGCTCCAAGGATCTGCAAGAGGGCAGGTGAGCACCCAGACCCTGGACTCAGCTGTAGGCTGCGACTACACCAGAGGGCCGGTCCCTTCTAGAGCATGGACAATAAAAGGGTATGGCTGGTGCCCCGTGTGTAACTTATCTGTGTGACATGCAGGCAGGGCACAGGCTCATCTGGGGCCTGGCAGGAACAAGGTTTACATGCCCAAAGCTCCACCCCTGACCCGTGTTCACCACTGGGGGTGCCCACTTTCTTCTATCTGGTTTGGGCCCCAAGATCACCCTGCAAGGAGAAAGGTAAAACCCCAGCCCTCAGCTAAGGAAACTATAGCAGAGAGACGTGGAAGGGCCAGCCTGGGCACCCCGGCAAGAGAGACCAATCCTTTCTTTATAGAGTTGGGGAAACTGAAGCAGAGAGTGGGAAAGGACTTGTCCAAAGAGACAGAGACCAAGTCCTAGGGCACAACTCTCTAAGATCTTTCAGTCCCCAATGGGTAAAATGAGGCCCAGTGACCATTTGCCCAAAGCCACAAGGCAAGTCAAGGGACTCTGATACCCACAGCCAGCTGCAGCAGCCTCTCTGTGACCCAGAGGCTGAGATCCCTAGAAGCCAGGGGAAGAGAAAAGGGGGCAGAGGAAAAAGCTGGGAGCAGGGCACAGGCTGAACCAGTACAGGACCCAGGTCCAAGTTCAGAGGCCACAGAATGAGGCAGCCAAAATGGGCAAACTTCCAGATGGCAGCCCTTCAGTATCAAAGGGGGGTCAGCTGCATAACCCCTTGGACACTTCCACCGGAGGAACTCCAAGCTCTTCAACAGCAGCCCACGGAGGCCTCGGGGTTCATAGGCCCATTTGGGGGCTGCCTTCACAAAAGGCAGGGACAGATAAGTGGTCCCGTTTCACTGGCCCATGACTCTAGAAGCATTTGAAGGCTAGACTCCCAGGAGGTCAAACACCAGCACGGGGTGGGGGCGGGGGGCATGGAGTATGTACCAACATGCATATGCGTGGACTGCTGGTATCATGTCTGGGGCTGATAGGGACTGAACTACTAAACCTATGTTTCTGGGTGCACCTGCACCTCCCCACTCTCCAAAACACCTTCAGAAACCCAGGCCCCTGAGGGAGATGCTGTGTGACCTTGGGCAAGTAGCATACCTTCTCTGGGTTTTAGTCTTCTCAGCTGTCAAGAAAGCAATATTCTGTCTCTCATAGACTTTGTGTGTATCGAGCATCAAGCTGGGCTCAGAGTGGGCTAAAATAATGACCATGGGGCATCAAACCTTCTCACATTAAGGCCTAGAAAGTTAAACCTGCCTCAGGTGACTGGGTGCTGGCTTAGTCAAGGGTCTGACATTGTCCCACATGAGGGGCCCCAGTTTCTCAAATAGCCCAGCTGCAGAGGTGCCTGAGCAAGCTTTGTTGGGAATAGTGGTGACTCTCCACCAGGCAGAAGTCTGACTCCACCCAGGACAGGAGTAGGGAAGGAAGAATCACACATTCCCTAACAACCTTTCACCCTTCACATGTGACCAGAGAAGGTACTAGACCCAGGGTCCAAGCTGCAGTGTCACATCCTAATGATTCCTGACTAGCTGTGTGACTTCAGGCTGCTAACTTCACCTCTCTGAGCCTCAGTGTTAGTGTGAGCACTGACATGAACTCTCTTGGCTGTCAGGACAATGAGAGACCCAACAGGCTGCCCTTCAGAGTGTGGTCCAGCCTGGGCTGAAGCAGGAGCCCATGCAGAGAAACACAGGGCCTGGGCACAGTCTGTACAGAGGGTAGGGAATAAAGAGACCAGGCAGGTCCCTAGGAGCTCTGATGGGTGGTAGTGACATCCTGTACTCCAGGCACAGAGGCAGAAGGAGTGAGGTACATAGTAGCCCACAGTACCTGTTGGGAGCCCAAGTCTGGCTGGAGCAGGTTTAGTCCAGCGAGTCCAGGCAACAGTTTGGATAGCAAGACATCATGCCTAGCTGGCTTCCTGGCACTCAGAGCCAGAAGACCTAGGAACCAGGGCGACGGGGCATCAAGATTGTGTAGCAAGCTGAGCATAGTGGCGCACGCCTTCAATCCCAACACTTGGGAGGCAAAGGCAGGCACAGCTCTCCGAGTTCTAGGCTAGCCTCATCTACATAGTGAGTTCCAGGCCAACCGTGGCTACATAAAGAGACCTTGTCTCAAAATAACAACAACGAAAAAAAAAACACACAAAAGAGAGATCATGCAGCAGACCTCTAGGCCCGTTACTGGGCAGACAGCAATCCTGTCAGGTTGTCACTCAGCCCAGTTTTACCCAACTCACAAGGTGGAGGGCTCAGCCAGAACTCTGCACTGTAACAGGAGACAAGAAAGATGGGAGTCTGAGCACATCTGATCCGGGTAGACACCTTCTACCTAGCCCACATCCCCTTCCTCCCCAGTGCCACCTCCATCCCTTCCCAACCCAGTCCTGCTAACCTCTTCCAGCACAGGCGAGCACTGGGCCAGACCTGGCCCCACCCTGACTCCCTGGAGCCTTGAGAAGTTGTAGCTTGAAGTGGCTCCTGGCCTGCGGGCCTGGGCAGGAACCCTGGGCTCTCATCTCAGCCCTACCACTGCCCTTGTCCCCACCACCCAGGAGCCTCCCATGGATGAGACTCCATTGTAACGGGCTCCAGCCCCCCAGGCCAGACCCCTGTCCACAAGAAAACAAGAGGGAAGGAAGTGGCTATATCAGGAAGGGGGGAGCTGCTCTCTGACCCCAGGGGAAGAGACACAGTCCAAGTCCCCAAGTCTTTGCAGCTACCACAATTTAGTTGCAGTTGTCACTCACTCAAAGATGCCCAGCACGGCAGGGGTCTTGCCCTCCAAAGACCATGGGCACTGCCCCACTCAGCTCTGCCTCTATCAGCTGTGTGATCTTGGGCAATTCATCTATCTCCCAAGCCTTAGTTTCCTCATCTGTGAAACAGGGTAAATAAGAGCCCTATCTCTCAGGGCCTTAACAGCACAGCCAGTTTCAGCCCTGGGCACAGAGCAGCTCACACAGTGTGCAGCAATATCACCTGTCATACCATGCCTTGTTCCAGTCACCAATGCCACCAACAGCAGGGGACACGGAGACCCAGGAGTAAGGTGAACAGGGCCAGCTCAGGAGCTTCCCATTAGGAAAGAAACATCAGCTGAGGGCTCTGGATGGGAAGGGAACTAGGAAAGGTTAGGAAAGGCCCCTCCTTCAGGACGGCTGTCTGGCAGAGGGAGAGTAACTGCCCAGGTTCCACCCTGGGCTTGCTACTCGGCAGCCATGTGACCTTGGACAAGGGCCTTGACGACTCTGAGCCTCAGTTTCCTCATCTGCAAAATGAAGACAGCTCCTCCCCCATCAAGCTGCCCTGGCAAGGATCACAGAAATCAGCAAGATGAACAGGGAACAGGTGAAGATGTCTGGCACAGCACGTGGCACCTGCTCGTTTTTGCCTCACACAGAGGGCATCATGCGCTTGGGTACTGAGGGCTAAATAGGAGTTCACCGAAGACAAGAGAAAGGGCTTTTCAGGCAGAGAGACCAGCATGCTCAAGGAAAGGGAAGCATGAACAGCAAGATATCCCCACAGCAGGTGGAAAGGTTGCCTCTTTAACGGGACCTTTGAGTCACCTGGAGATGGATTCCCTCCTACCTTCCAGAACCCTTGGCCTCCCACAGCCTGATCAAAGTCCCCAAGCCTTACCTGCCTGAAGGAGTGGGCCCTATAGCCCAGCACTGCCCCCCAACCATCAGCTGGCCCTCCCTGAAGAACGCTCCCACCACCTTCACCTGTAGCGCTCACTGTCCTTCCACGGAGAGATAGCCTGACAGAGAAAGCTGATAGAAAGAGCCCCCCAGAAGGGGCACCCAACAGGGACCCCAGCCTGCCTCTGCCTGCTCCCTGGCCTGGCCTGGAGCACTAGGGAGGCTCCCTCCCCACCATACTGTCTCCAGGAGGGGAGCTAAGGCTTGCTCCACCCTGGTCTCCTGAATACACTGGGCCCTGCATGCATCTGGTACCCAGTGTGGACTCACAAACCTGAATGGGAGATGAGCTAACAGGAAGATGGGGGGAAGAAGGTAGAGGGTCTAATCAAACTGGTGGATGCAGAATAAGCTATGGAAAGAGGACAGGGACAGCGAGGGAGTGGAGACCACAGGCAGGGACAGTGGTAAAAGCACATGCAGAGAGCAGCCCCTAGCCACAGCGAAGCATCCCCTCCATCCTGGCCACAGTACACACCTGACGTCCACCTTCCTCCTAAGGGCCAGCGAGAAAGAAGCAGAAAGAGGAAGAGACTGAGGTGTGGGAGGCAGGGCCCAGGATGAGGGAAGGACCAGTCTTGGGAGGACCACCACCCACCAAGGGCAGAAGCTGCCCCAGAGGCTCTGCACCACCCTCTACTGGAAGCTCCAGGTGTAGAAGGGCCCCTCAAGAGTGGGGTCCCCAAAGTGGTACTCACGTGTTGTTGACAATCTGTAGCCGTTCCCCTTTCTTGAAGGATAGATCTGTTTCTGTCCGTGACTCATAGTCATAGAGGGCTACGAAGGTGGTCACTCCACCTGCAGAGAGGAATGAGAGGTATCAGAACCCCTGGTGGGGTACCACCTTCCTCATCCATCAGCCCAGCCCAGAGAAGTGGAATACTGTCTCTGTAGCATAAACTAGGACTCCACAAATGCTTCTCAACCAAAAGAATGTGCATGTGGCAGGCTGTAAGGCTGGGCATCCATGAGTGTTGTCTGTGTCACATGTGTCCTCAGTGACTTCTGACTGCATGTGTACAGCTCCATGTGTAAGGTGTAAGGCTATGTGTGCACATGTGTATCTATGTGTGCTGGGCTGGGGGTGTCTGTCCCAGGTATGTCTCTAAGAGCACGGTGTCTGTGAGTGTCTCCACTTAGTGTGGGTATATACCCCCATGGGCACATAACTGTATGAATCAGTCAGATGTGCCCACGTGGGTGTGCAGCTGTATGCACAGCTCAGTCTAGGAGTTAGATGCGCTTGTGTATGGATGTGTAAGCAGACATGTGGCTAGGTCTGACTGTGGGATGTGTCCATGTGTGCATAGCTGTGCATGTGGGCTGGGTCTGGCTGTGGGATGTGTCCATGTGTGCATGACTGTGCATGTGGCTGAGTATGACCGTGAGATGCGCCTCCCTGTGTGTGTAACCTAGTGCTCTGAGGCGCAAATTTTTGGTGCCACACCCTACCTCACCAGCAGAGGGCACAGGAGTGCAACGGAAACCACCTCAGGGTAACCCCACTGCAGGCCTATAGACCACCTCCCACCCTCCACCGCCCACTGCCCATAGCCCATCATCCACCATCTAAAGAACAAAGGCCAGATTGGGAGGCAGCAGCAGGGCCTGGTCCCCAGCATCCCTCCCCTCTGCATCCCAGTGTCCCCTACAGACCTCTCCTCCAGGATCTCTTACACTCTGAATGTGGCTGCCCCAAGTGACAAGAGCCCCCACTTTCCAGCTTAGGAGTCCTCCCCACTCATAACCTCCAGGACACCAACAGTCCCCAGAACTGGGGACCCACAGATGCTCTGCTTTAGAGACAAAGAAGGGCCCCGAGAGTGTGACCGCTGCCTAGGGATACACAGTAGGAAGGGGACACTGACCAGCCAGGGGCCCTGCCCTCTGCGGGGAGGTGACAGTGTCCGAGGAGTTGAAGCCCCCGAAGAGCTTGGGCTCTGCAGTCGCGGGGGGCACAAAAGCGGCGCCGGGGCCTCGGTGGCCATCGGAGGAGGCTGGCTTGCTAGGGGTCTGCGAGGCTGGGAAGGCACATCCGGCCCCGTGCACATTCTCCGTGGGCTCCAGGCTACGGCGCCGCTGGCTGGCATCCTTGGGCTTGCTCTTGTTGCTGCCCATGTTCCTGGCTGGGGGTGACAGAAGACCCTGGGGTGGAGGAGAGCCTTTAGGAGCAGGGTACCCCACCCACTCAGTGAAGAGGCAAACGTGGCCCTAAAACTGGAATCAAGTCTGCCTGGGCAAGCTGGCCCCACAGAGCCTCAATTTCTTCATCTGTAAGATAGGCATGCTGGTGCATCTTAGGATGGAGGCCCACACATGGATGACAGCTCAATCAGAAGCCCTGGCCATCCCCATTTCCCTGTCAGTTTCAGCACCTGTGGACAGGGACAGAGTCGGAAAAATGTCTCCAGGACATAACAGGAGCTCACTGAAGATTTGCTGAATAAATTACAGGACTGGCTGAAGTTGTCTAACACTGGGGGAAAGTGCTAAATGTGGTGAGGCAGCAGTTGAGCAGGCAGCTTGAAGGCTAGCTGGACCCTGTCTCTAGCCACAGAACCTTTGCACACACGGTTCCCCGACTACTTCACCAGGGTAAATCAAAAGTCACTTGGGCAGGGAAGATGGCTCAGTCAGTAAAGGCACTTGAGGCCAAGCCTGACCACCCAAGTTCAGTCCCTGGGATCCATGAGATTAAAAAGAGAGTTAAGAAGCCGGGCATGGTGGCACGCACCTTTAATCCCAGCACTTGGGAGGCAGAGGCAGGCAGATCTCTGTGAGTTCAAGGCCAGCCTGGTCTTCATAGGGAGTTCCAGGACAGCTGGGGCTACAGGTAGACCCTGTCTCAAAAAGACCAAAAAAAAAAAAAAGAGAGTTAAGAAAGAATGTACTCCCATTAAGTTGTCATCTGACCTCTGCACGCAGCTACCCCCATGCACACAAAAATAAATAAAATGGAAAAAAAAAAAAAAACCTTGACATCACCTCCTTAGGAAAGGCCCCCCTAAATCCTTTCACTGAGTCCTCTTGACTGTGGTACCTCCCCCTGGTTACATGCATGCCCTCCCTTCTTAAAATTCTACAGTTTTGTCATGGGCTTTTGTCTGTCTTATTCACTACTGTACACAGGGTGTGGTACACAGCAGGTGCCTAATGAACATCCCCATGAATGAATAATGAGCATTGAGAGAAATTGAGATGAAGCCAGAAATTCAGGAGGTCCTGGGATGGGAATGAATAAAGTTGAAGGCTCTATGACACCTGTCACTCTTCTCCGTCCCTATACCTACCTCACCCTGCTATGCTTGGTTGCAGCTCCCCTCTCTTCTGGGGGCTCCAACCCAGCTCTCCATCTCCCCTCACCTGGTGGGCAGCAGGGCTACCCCAGTGGATGTGGGGAGCAGATTGGGAGCTTGGCACAGACACCAGCTGTGGGATCCGGGGTCTTGGCCTAGAGACCTTGCTCCACGTCTCCGGCTGTGCGTGCCTAGGCAAGCTGCTCCCCTTCTCTGGGCCTCGGTGTCCTCATCTGCAGAGTTGCTGTAAGGATGTAAACACAGAAACTGTTAGAAGCATCCCCCAGGTGGAATGTCCTTTGGCCCTCCCAAAGCTTCCAGGAGGGAGGAGGGTGGGCAGTGTTGTGGTTTGGGAGGCTCTGGAACCCAAGTCCCCAGTTCAAGTCTCAGCACTGAGTATACTCTGGCATGTGACTTCACCCTCTGCCACTTCTTCCCTGTGTGTGGCAGAGCACTGGCATGACCAAACCTGGCCACGGCAGGTGTCACTCTGTACACTAGATATCACTGGATCTGGTTCTGGCTGTGCTGCACTGGGGAACGGGACCTGACCACTCTCCTGGGATGTGGAAGTCTCCAGCATTAGGCCAGATCTCCCCAGAGAACCATAATGGACTCACCACTTGTTCTCAGCACCAGGCCCAATTCTATGGCTCCTGCCCACAGAGACTTGGGTCAGTAGCCAGTCTTGCACCCTCAGAACCTCAGCCTGCTGAGCTACACACTGAGGGATGTGTCCCAGACTCAAGCCCAAAGGCTCAGAGAATATAGGGTTGGGGAGATCTACCCAATGCCCAAGTGACCACTAGGGCTCCCTAGGGACAGGCCAGCAGCAGGGAGACAGGGAAGGCTGGTTTCTATGGCAACCCATTCTCTCCAGGTCACAGCGCCCATCAACATTTACAAACTTGGTGCCCCAAGAGGCCTGGTGGCCAATGGGTTACCTGCAGCCTGGCTTGCAGGAAGCCAGCCAGCCCAGCCCACCCACTCAACCTCATAGCAGCTTTTATAGACCCCCCTGGCAGTACCCCTCTGTTAGCTGCTCCAGAGGGATCTTGAGAAAGGATAACAATTATAAAAATTTATTTTAAGCCAGGCCTGGTGGCACATGCCTTTAATCCCAGCATCCAGTAGGCAGAGGCAGGCAGATCTCTGTGAGAGTGAGTCCAGCCTGCAAGGAGACCTTGTCTCAAAAAACAAAAAAGTTAATAAATAAAAATAAAAACTGATTTTAAAATAAAAACAGTTTATAATGTATAAAAAATTATCTAAGAGCAAGAAGTTTTTATAGGCAGGCACCAACCACGGTAGCAATCGAAACCAGGGTCTTGTTCATACTAGAAAAGTACTCTACCAATTGAGCTATACCGCTAGCCTGAAAATCTCTTCTTTTTTAAAAAAAATTATTTATTTTAATGTGTATGAGTGTTATGCCTCCATGTATGTAATTGCACCCATGTTGTGCAATGCCCACAGAAGTCAGAAGAGGGCATCGGATCCCCTGGAACTGGAGTTACAGCTGTTCGTTAGCTGCCATGTGGGTTCAAACTCTGGTGCTCTGTAAGAGCAGCCAGTGCTCTTAACCACCGAGCCATCTCTCCAACCCCCCAAAAATGTCTTCTTAATAGGGGCTGGAGAGATAGCTCAGCAGTTAAGGGCACTGGTTGCTCTTGCAGAGGACTGAGGTTCCATACTCAACATCCACATGATGGCCAATAACATCTGCAAATCCAGTTCCAGGCAACCAAATACCCTCTTCTGGCTTCCTCAGGTACCAGGCATGCATATGGTTCACTTACATATATGCAAGCAAAACACTCATACTCATAAAATAAAAATAAATAAATCTAGCCAGGCATAGTGGTGCATACCTTTAATCCCAGCACTCAGGAGGCAGAGGCAGGCAGATCTCTGTGAGTTCAAGGCCAGCCTGGTCTATATAGTAAGTTTCAAACCAGCTGGGACTACAGGGAGACCCTGTCTCAAAAAGACCAATAATAATAAATAAATAAATAAATAAATAAATAAATAAATAAATAAATAAATCTTTTTTAAAAAATCTCTTTTGAGGCTGGAGATGGCTCAGCAGTTAAGAACATGTACTGCTGCTCTTGCAGAGGACCTGAGTTCAGTTCCCAGCACCCATGCTGGCAAGTGGCTCACAACCACCTGTAATTCCAGCTCCAGGGGATCCAATGCCTCTGGCCTCCATGGACACCCACTCATATACAAACACATATAAGTACACAGAATTTAAAGATAATAAAAACAGGGGCTAGAAAGATGGCTCAGCAGTTAAAAGCACTGGCTTCTCTTGCAGAGGACCTGGTTTCAGGTCCTAGCACCACAACCATCTATAACTCCAGTTCCAGGGGATCCTATGCCTTTTTCTGGCGTCTGTGGGCATTGCACAACACAGGTGCACTTATATACACACAGGCAAAACACATATATAAAATTAAAAATTTTTTAATTTTAAAAATAAAAATGAATTCACTTTTTTAAAAAACCCTTCTTAATAAACTAACCCTACTTAATACTGGCTTGTCCTGAAATTCTTTTCTACAGCATCACCTGAGTGCAGTTCTCTGGAAAGAACTCCTTGGGCTCCTGGGGAACAAATGAGAGAAGCACCCTGAAATACCTGGAGGGCCTGCACCAGCCTCCAAGGATGGTAACCAGCCAGGGGGGACTTGGAACTGTTCTCTATAAGGGCCCTGGATGCTGAGCTCCTTGAGGCTAATCAGCTCCCTCTCCACACAGCACCCAGGAGAGATCTGTAAGGTAGACAAAAGACTCCTTGAACCTGTAAGTTCAAATCTGCACCCTACTCATTCCCTGGAGGTCATGTTATGGAGGCAGAGAGACCTCCCTGACATCAGAAGATAGACTCTGCTCCAAGCACTTTGCAAACAATAATCCTCCTGACCAGCAGATATCAACAGTGTCCTCAGCCTTAGTTTACTAATGAGGAAGTTAAGGCACAGAGAGGTTGAAGAACTTGCCTTAGGTCACACAGAGAGCAAGAGTGAAAATTTGGGTGGGGGGCAGAGAACCACATACAGCAGGCAGGAATAGGGGCTGCTCCAGGAATCCAGTGAGAACTCAGGGGTCCCCCTCCTCCCTCAGAACCTCTCACACTGGAGTAGTGAGGACTGAGCTGATAAGGTCTTTGGCAGTGCAGAGCATGTGTGTGGGGAAGGAGAGCCTATTTAGAGTGGAGTTAAGGCTCCCTTGGGAGAGCATCATCCAGGCAATCAGCCCCAAAACTCTGGCTCCCTGAATTGGAGGTGGGGGTTCTGCCCAGTCACCATGAGTCACCCATTTGAGAAGCGCCCCCATCTCTTCCGTCATTTGCACGTTCTGAGGTAGAGATAGGTCCTCAGGGGACAAAGGGAAATAGGGAGGCTCTGAACTGGGGGCCTGAGGTTCCCAGAGGAAGATGGCCCTTTCCTGTGGGGAGTGTGCCTGACCACTGGCTCCCACCTCCATCCCTGACAGCAAGGGCTGTGGAAGCTTACAGAAAGTTCTGGAAGGAATCCAAAGTCTTTGTTCCATTTGACAAGGCACGGGACAGGGAGAAGGAAATCCTTTTTATTTTATACTCTGCATCAACTGATGTTTGGAAATTACTTTCTATGCTGGTTAAGGTTTTGACAAGTTGAAACAAACTAGAGAAGAAAAAGGAACCTTGACTGAAGACTCTCCTCCGTCAAGAGCAGCCTGCGGACATGTCTATGGGGCATTTTCTTGATTGTTAAGTGATGCAGGAGGGACCTCCCTACTATGGGTAATGCTATCCCCAAGCAGGTGGGCCTGGGTTATATAAGAAAAGTAGAAGGCCGGGCGTGGTGGTGCAGGCCTTTAGTCCCAGCACTTAGGAGGCAGAGGCAGGTGGATCTTTGTGAGTTCAAGGCCAGCCTGGTCTACATAGTGAGTTCAGGTCAGCTGGGACTACAGGGAGACCCTGTATCAAAAAGACAAAAAAAAAAAAAGTAGTAGAGCAAGCCACATTCTTCCATGGTCTCTGCTTCAGCTCCTGCCATGAGTTCCTGCCCTGACCTTCTTCAGTGATAAAATGAAGTAAACTCTTTCTTCCCCAAGTTGCTTTTGGGCAGAGCATTTAAATCACAGCAACAGAATGCAAACTAGAACATGCCTCATGATAATGATCATTATGATTTGTGGTATTCAGGATGGAACCTGAAGCTTTGTACTTACTGTTGAATAAGGCTTTATAAAGAATGTTTGAGATTATTCCACCATCCCCTGTAGTAAGTCCTAAGTGTTTGGCCTGGGTTCGCTAACCTGCACTAGGTACAGCCCTCTGTGCCCAGGACCACCTACTCCCTTTCAGGGAAGTTCACAAGCACTCCTTGAAGACCCACCTTCCTCTGGTCAGGGTTGTGGGCTCTGGCATCTCTGAACCTTGGTCCCATGTATGACAGGTACAGCCTTAGCTGCTGCTTCAGGAAGTGGAGCTGAGGAGTGGCTCCACCAGAGCAGGGGTCAGAGTCCTGGCCATGCTTCTTACTAACTGAACCTTCTCCATAAGCCACAGTGCTTCCTGGATTCCCATCTTTCAGATGGGTGTGGCTCAGTGGTGGACGCTAGTTTACATGTATAAGCCTCGGCTCTATCCACAGCACCACAAAAACAGTAATAGTAATAGTAATAATTAAATTAAAAATAAATAAAATGAAAGAAAGCTTGGCATTATAAAGCTCCCATTATTCCTAAATCAGCCCACAATTTGAACCTGTCAAACCCTAATGGAATTTTTCTTTTTTCTTAGTGAGGCAAGAAAGAGTATTTTAAAATTTTTAAGTAGGGCCAGCAAGATGGCTCAGTGGGTAAAGGGGCCTGCTGCCAAGTCTGACAACCTGAGTTCAATCCCTGGGATCCACATGGTTGTTAGCTGCCATGTGGGTACTGGAAATTGAACCTGGGTCCTCTGCAAGAGCAGCCAAATTTAATCTCTGAGCCATCTCTCCAGCTTCAGTTTATTGATTTTAAAGTGACTTCTGGGTTCTGTGTGGTCTTCACAGCTGTTCTTTCCGTTCTGGCTCAGAATATCTGGTCTCTCTGTAAGCTCTCCACTTTTGCCTTTTTTTTTTTTTTTTTTTTTTTTTTTTTAGACCGAACCTAGGGTTTTCCTTTTGCTAGATACATACTCTACTACTGAGCTAAATCTCCAACTCATGATTTATTCTTAAAATAGAAGAATAACACAATCATTCTATA